AACGGCCAAGGTGTACAGGAGCCCAGCTTGGCACCAAGCCCGGCAGTGGGCCGGGTGCCCCCCCTCGCAGGAGCAGGAGAGGGTGAGGAAGAGGATGCCTTCTCGTCCAGGGGTCCCCAGAGTCAGGGCCCGGTGGTCCCAGGCCTATTGACAGAGGTCACGCTGAAGCCTCCCAGAATGGAAGGCCCTAGTGTCCCCCAGAGGAAGCTTGGGATCCCACAAGCCTTTGAGGAGGCTGCCAGCTCCTCATCAGCGGCCCCCAGCCTACGTAAGGCTGGCCGCACAGAGCCCATCCCTCCTGAAGGCTGCTGGAAGGCCCAGCCCTTCCACACCCAGGCACTAACAGCACTTTGTCCCAGCTCTTCAGGACTTATCCCCACCAGTCGCTCTGCTGCCACCTCCACCTCTGGAGAGCCAGGCCCATGGTCTTGGAAATTTCTTATCAAGGGTGCAGACAGGGCATCCCCAAGCAGAAAGGCAGCAATGGAAGGTGGGATGGCCAGCTCCCAGGATTTGGAAACCATAACTCCAGCCCACCCTGAGAACCTGTCTCCCAGACAGGAGGGGAAGTCCTGGCCACCTGGTGCTCCTGGGCTGGTCCATCCACCTCCTGAGTTTCCCCACCAGAGCTGGCTGTGGGAGCCCACGGGTGCACAGAGAGAGAAAGAGGAGCCAGCCCTGGGCATCACCGAAGTGCCTGATGCCTCAGGTGACAGGAGGCAGGACGTTCCATGCAGAAGCTGCCCCCTCACCCAGGAGCCTGGGCCCAGCCTACTCCGGAGGGGCCGAGAGCCAGGGGCCCCTCAAAAGCATCAGGACTTGGCATTGGTACCTGATGAGCTTTTAAAGCAAACATAGCCATTGTTTGCCATTTCTTGCACTCAGACCTGTGTAATACATGCTCTTGGAAACCATCTTTGTCTTTTGCTTCGTTCTTTCAGTCAACACAAATGTAACTCAAGGTCTTTGTTGCTGCTGGGAATACAGTGGTGAATAACACTTTCCACTGTCAGGGGAGGGTTACCTAGCCCAAGTTGGCTTCCCAGAGACTATGACATCTGAGCTCAAACCTGAAGAACAGATGATAGGTAGTAGTTTGCTGGGTTAGAAGAGTGGGGATTAGTCCGAATATCCAGGCAAAGAGTACAGCACCTACCATATATCTGGTATATTCAAGAAACTGAAACCAAAGTGGAAATGGGTCTAGTGAGTTAGGCAAGGGCCATATTTAATGATACTTACAGTTTAGACTTTCTGTCGGTGATGGGGAACCATGGAAGACCACGTAGCAACTAATAGCTCTGCTTTATAGAGGAGGGAAACTCAGGTTTTCAGATAGTAACATAGCTTGGGCAGAACTAGGATTAGAACCTAGGTCTTTCTGGACTCCAGAAACCACCTTTATCTTCTTAGTTGGAGTGCTTCGTAGCCAGAAAATGAGTAAAAAAGATGGAAGGAGGTGGAGTTAAACTTGGAATATATTTGAGGTACTTGATGGACATCCAGAAGGTAACTGGATGCATGGGCCTGGAACTCAATAGGAAAATCTAGACTGAAGATAGAAATTTGAGAGCCATCAATGTATCAATAGTGGTACACTGAGGAACACTATCATTTAAGTCAAAGAAGACTTAGAAGCATCTAGAAAAGAGTCCTAAAATCCAAGAGAGGGAAGAGTTTTGAAATGGATGGAGAAGTTACTTGTTAAAATGTTGAAGGCCCACTTAAGATGAAAATACAGAATTGCCTTAATGTTTGTAGTCATTGAACCCTTCCTGGGCTTTTGTCAGGCAGGCCTTACCAATGGAGGTGGACATCGCTGAGGCGGACACCTCAGCATTGGCAGGTGGGTGAGTGGATGGTGTGGGAGCGGGGAGGACATCTATGGGACCATTGTGTTGGAGGAGTCAGGAGATGGCATCACAGGGGCAGGAGAAGGGCTGTGATGGAATACCTCCATGGTGATGCAGGACTTTTCAAACTGTGGTGTTGCACTAACTGTCCCATAATCCAATGCTTAGGTTTGAAAGAGAGGCGTCCAGAGGCCTGGAGACAGGGTGCGGGGGATGCCTCAGGGCCACTGGCTGGGGGCCTCCTGCACCCCGCAGCCTCTGTAACCTTGCATGGAGAAAGCTGTGGCCGCCAGAGGGCGTGCCCTGCCCATGGCCCATCTACAAGTAGATGTCTGGCCCCTTAGCCTTCAGTCCCTTCTTGAACTCACTTCTTCCTTCAGCCGTTCACTGGCAGCAGACCCTCAGCCAGCCTGTACTGGATGCTGGGAACACAGGTAACTGGTTGCTTTGGGGAGCCTCCCACGTTTATCAGGATCTGGTTAGAAGCACCATAGCAAAGGTGAAGGAGGTGGGGTAGGCACATCTTGCAACAGTTCCTGTGAGAAAGGAATTGCCCCCTTAGGGAGTTGGAAATGGGGGGTGGGGAGGTGGGGGAAGGAGGAGGCACAGAGATGCTAAGCCTCCTGTAAACCATAGGGCAGCTGCCCCAAGTGCCAGTGGTGCTCCCTTTGAGAAACACCGCCAAATTAGCGTGAGGGGTTTCTGAACGATAACTGCAGGGAAGTGGTATAATCACATTTATGTTTTAGGAAGACGCTGGCTGCAGCGTAAGGAGGCTCTAGTGGAATTCGCAGAGCAGAGAGAAAATGATGTAGTGATGCGTTATAGTGATCTGAACTAGGACAAACTTGAGGATGAACCGTGTAGGAGCCAGACCCAGATTTGGCAGCCATCAGCAAATAGACAGTAAGGCCAAAGAAATAGATGGCAATTGTACAGAGAATATGCAGAAGAAAAACCCAAGACATTGGGACTGGCTGAAGGGAAGGATCCAGGGAAGAGTAATAAAGTAGGGGAAGAGATCCTAAACTTGGGAGAAACCAGACCACTTTAAGAATTTTGTAATTTACCCTAAGAGTGATTGAAAGTTAATGGTTTTACACAGGTTCAGATTTGTATTTTGAAAAGATAACTGGTTGTTATGAGAATGGACTTGGGGGCAACTATGGAAGAAGGGAGGCCTGTTCAGTATTAAGTAGTGAAGAAATGAAGTTGGGGAGAAGTAATGTCTTTGACATTTAGGAAATAAAATTGATATAGGTTGTCGGTGTGTATTATGTCATCCTGAAACATAGGAAGTTCTCAAGGATGATGACTGCATTTCTGACTTACATAACCAAATGAGGCATATAGTGCTACCACTGAAATGTGAAATAATGAAAGAGAACCTGGGCTAGGTGGTGACCCTGCATTCAATATGCTGTGAGGTACCTCCCAATAGAGGATTGAGCAGGAGAAACACAGACATAAATGGCCTAAAGATGGTAGATGGAATCATGGATGTGGATAAAATTGCCAGGGAAAAAGACCTTGTCCAAGAGAATTAAAAGGAACAGTCAGAGATCTAGGAGGAAAACCAGATGTTGAGTCATCATGAAGTCCACGGGAAAGTTTTTCATGGCAAGGAGTCAAGGATGATGGTTATTGAAGACCTCAAGGAAGGAGAGCAGTTTCAGCTGGTGGTGGGACCTGTACCGAAATGGTGGAGGAGAGAAAATAAAGACAAATTTAAACAGTTTTTGTAAAAAGGTTTGGCTTTGAAGAGGGGCAAAGAGATAAAGGGATACAGGATTCAGTAGAGGTTAGGAAGTGGAGTGAGACACATTCAACCATGTTTAAATGTCAATGGATGATCCGGTTGAGAGAAAACAACAGTGAAAGAATTGACAACTGATCATGGGAAATTCCTGAGAAGAAGGGAGAAAACAGGATACAAAATTATACAGATTGTGGAAACATTGGCTTTTAGTTGGAGGGGGGCTACTTTAACAGGTGAGAGGCAGAGGAGTTAAGTAGATATAGGCGGGTTTGTAGGTTTGGTGGTAGAAAAGTAAGGGAATTCATAGCCACGCATACGTTTTCTCTGTAAACAAAAAGTTTGCAATGCCTGTGGGACACTCAAGGCCCCAGTGGAGCTATCCAGCCAATAGGTGGAGTTCAGAAGACAGGACTAGGCTGGAGACAGGAATTTGAGCATCCTATGCAAAGAGTAGGAACAACTCTTGGGATTTGGGGAAATCCTCTATAGTTCCTAGGAGTGGGGAGAAAGGACGTAGGCAAGATAGAGCAATGGACTATCCCCTACCCAGTCTGATTTATAATTCACTACACACCTGGGTGGGGCCTGAGAGACTACATGAGAACTACAATGTCCTATGCAAAGAGGTGGTCACATTTTGTTAATTATGTTGACATATAGAAACCGTAACAAAGTGCTGTGGCAGGAGGGTGACAAGGGCCTTGGGCAACAAACATTTTCCCTGCCCCCAGAATAGACTATGGAAATACTTTTATTTCCAGACAGAAAGATGTGATGAGAATCAGTAAGCTGGACTTTCTAATACTTCAGAATGGGGTGAGAAGGAAAGCGCTCTCAGATTTAACTTTCTCAGGACTAGTTTCTGAGTCTCACTGTGTCCTGTGCTGGATGGACAAGATGCTGGCATCATGCCTATTAGGGTCAGCTTCTCTTGTTCAGGGGAAGAGCGCCTCTGGTGGCCCCGTTCAGCCCCAGGACCAATCTTTTGGTGCTCATGGGAGAGGTTTGGGAGTTTCAGGGCTTTCAATAGCCTAATCCTCTTGCGGCCCACCCCTAGCCCACCCCTCCATAGCATGAGGACAAAAAGGTGCTTTATTGCAATGTCTTTATTGCATTACTGGAGCAAGTTGGCCAGACTGTCCCCTCTTGGGGAAGATAAAAAAACAAAAGACCAAAAAGTATCTCCCCTCACTTACCCCCCACCCTCCCCACAACTGCACAGCAATGTCTGAACACATCTGGTGACAAGAACAATTTGCAAAAGTGGTCTAGGAACTACGTTATGAACTGTCCCAACACAAGACATATAGTTGGCTTCTTTGTGAATCAGATATTTTTACGTAAACTACGTGGTTTTTTGTTTTTGTTTTTGTTTTTTAACTACATCAAAGACAACAGAAGAATAGGTTTTTCACAAGTAACAACAGGGCACCAAAGTCACATGCTGGAATTTGTAAGGAAACAAGGTTGTCACAAGTGGCTAGAGCTAGGGCAAGGATGAGCAGCTGACAGCAGGGAGCCCAGCCAGGCCCCCATCTGCACCCTCTGCTTTGAGGCCACAGAAGCCTCACAGAGGCCTACTCTGGAGTCTTAACTGGCAACAGAGACCACCTTGTAACCAGGAATTGTCCAGATGCAATTCTTGGCCAAGAGGACCCATGAAGCTGGTTCCTTGCAGCAAGAAGAGGAGACCTATGGAAGACGCCACATTGGCTATCAATGCTTCTTTAGAGCACATGAGGTCCAGAGTAAGTGGGAGGTCCCATCAAGGCTTGGAGATGGAGTAGGGGAGGTATTAGAAGTCCTCAACCTTGGCCAAATCAGTGGTAAGGACACAGTTAGCCTATACAGTCCTGAGCCCTGGCCAAGATTTACCATCTATGATCAGGAAGAGACAGAGACCATTGTTCTGTGATGAAATCTCCACCCGGAAAAGATGGGCCTAGGACCTGTGTTCAGCCAGCTTCAAGCTGCTTCCATGCTGATGGCTGGCTTCCCCAGCCAGAAAAACAATGAGCCCCCTGGTCTTTGTCTGTCTCTTTACTCTCTGCTTCAGTGAAGCTGCAGTTAGGATGCCAAGAGAGAAAGAGTCCAAGGGCCTAAATCATGGGACAGGACACAGAGCTAGCTAGGCTCAGATGAAGGCCGCCAAGACCATGAAGTATAGGAGCTGCATACTACCCCTCCATGTGGTTAGCAGATTGGTCCCTATGCCATTTCCACTGGCTCAGGATCAAGCAAATCATATGGCAACTAGTCAGAAGAGATACTTTCCAACTTCTCAAATGATCCTTAGTTCCCACAAAGCAACAAATTCAAGAATGAAAAATAGGAAAGAAAAAGTGAAGGAATATAGGATTAAAAAAAGAGCAGTCCTTCTCCACAAGCCAGTCCTTATATGTAAGTTTAGGTATTAGATGGTCCTAGCTCCCTCCCCACGCACCCTTTGTATCTGCCTAAAAAGGAGCAACACACTGCTCAAGGTCACAGGCGTGCATCCTTACTCCCATTTTATTTTAAAGAGAGTCAGAACACACTAAATTTTAATACCAGAAAGGAGGGGTTTCTTGCACCCAATCTGGAGCATCCAACTGCTTAAGCAGGTTCAACACCAGGTGGAAGGCCATCCAGCAGCAACTAGCCTGACATCACTCAGTAAAACCTTCAAGATTTCAGCCTGGCAATGTGGAGAAGAGGTGTGCAGCTGGCTTTCAGCTAAGGGCTTAAGTCAGAACATGACACTGGAAGGATGGGTTCATCTGTCTGCCTCGCCTAATCCTGAAACTGCAATGGAACCAAAGAAAAGCCGAAGATAGGCCCTTTCCTTCCTATCCTCATTGTTAGTAACTCTAGAGCTTTTTCCAAAATTTTTCATCTATTTTTATATCATGGTCCATTCTAGACCCTGTCACCAAGATAAGTGCTCAGGGAAAGCAGTATTTATTTTTTCATTCCATAACTACAGCTTTCCTAGCTGTAAACCTTATGTACCAAGACCCAGATATTGGCTGCTTCTCTAGTTCAGCCAGGACGCCTGACTGCACAGCTTTGGACTCAAACAGCTGACTCACTCTGAGCCTATTATGGTTCCAGCATTGGCTCAGAGGCAGCTGAACTCTATTTGTCGAATGAGTGTTGACTGATGGAGGTGGGGCATAAAGGAGGTAGGAGTACACGCCTGCCCCCAGCTCCATTCGCCTAGCTTCACTCAGCTGGAAGGCTTAAACCACATGGAGCGGAAGATTCCTGGCCTAAAATCAGGGCCACTGGAGCATGAGGACCGTCTGTGCACATCATCTTAATGGCAGGCTCACAAAAATGGCAAAGAGAAAAACTTCCAGATGGCTTTTACTAACAGTCTATAAACTCCAAGCCATTATTTCCTCTCCTTACAAAAGTTTCAGAAACCACTGCATGGAAGCACACGGGTAATGTGGATGACCCTCACCCTAGACACCAGAGCCTCCGCGGTCCCTGACAACAGTCAGGCTCCCTTCCTGCTACAACCTTTGCCACCCATGGCTCCCCTAAGCCCTACCCAACAAAGGACAGGGAGATGAAGGGAAATTAAACCATGTTTCCTGTTTCTGCAGGGCCTTCAAATTTGGGAAGCACATATAAGACTGTTGTTCTATATCATTATTTGGTATATCAAGCCATCTAAAAGCACTGGATTGCACCTTTTCTTTACTCATACAAACAAGTTACAAAAATTTTCAACAACAGATCATTCTTTAGGCTAAGGAAACACCACACAAGCACCAACTTCATTTTATGATTCAAAGTTCACCATGCCCACAAAAAGAACACTATTTCTCATCTCTGAGAAACAAGGGCAGGGCAGGAGTTACACTGACCAATTTTAGTGTTTGCTAAAACTAACAAATTCTAGTTTTCCTTTCACTTTCAAGTTTTGGTACAGAAGTGTGCATTCAGATACTAGTGCTGTCTTCTTCCATCAGACCTTAGTCTGGCAACAAACATTGTTCTGCTGAGATCAATTTGGTTTCTAAACATAATGCTTCTTTAGAGGGAGGAGCTACTGAGATGTTGACGCTTAGCTTATGTTAGTTAGTAAAGTACCTTCAGTTGAAGGTGTTTTTACCCCCTTGACTAAGATTCTCTCAATGAAATCCCAAGCCTCCCCATTTTCCTTTGGTTGTCTTTTTCACCAAATGCCATTCTACCACAGAACCAAAACAGCCTTCATTTTAGGAGGAAGTTAAGAGAGACCGCCAGATCAAAACAGAACTCCCCAGAGCCATGCCCCTGCCACATTCCCAGAGACAAAGACCAAGAGAGGACGTGGACTCTTCAGAAATTTCCAACCCCCTACCCCCATCAAACCTAATGTGTTCTTTTGAGGGTGCCTGGCTAAACAAAACAAAAGCCCCAATGAAACAGACTTTCCAAAAAAACATCTGCTTCCAGCTTCCTATGTCAGTGCAGCGGCCCAGCTGAGTCTCAGAGAACCTCAGGCCTCTTGTGCCCCCATCCTGGCCAGCTGCCGCTCAGCCTCTCCACATTCACAGAATCACTTCTTGTGCAAAACAAGCAGTCTACGTAGAAAGAATGCCCTCATAGTCTAATAAAAACTGTAGGAAAAAAATGCTAGAGAGCGACCTCTCTTCCCACTCCCTCTTTATCTGCAGAGTGAGGGCATCTGTGCGTGGACAGGGTAGGCAAGCCTGACGTTGAGGGAGTCGTTGTGCTGAACGAGGGATGTCTGCTGGTAATGGAGCACCAGCTCCTTCAGTGAGCTGTACAGGTTGTAGGGCTCTGCAAAGCCATAGCCCCGAGCAGTGCTGTAGATCACACAGTGCTTCACTTCCCCATCGGCACTGCAAAGACACAACACACAGACACCACAGGGAATTAAGGCAGGTAACGACAGATAAAGAGACCCCCAAATGACCAGAAGTCTGAACAGTTTTTCTGCAAAGGAGGAGGTGTAGAAGTGTTTTGCCAAAGTTTGTAAAATGTCACGTCCACATGTGTCCCCTCGCCCCCTTACAAACTTATCACAGAGATATCTGTCACCTCGCACCAAGACCTGGTGGAATGAAAATGGGTGGCTGAATTTAATCACTCAGCTCTGCATCTTCATGAGGCAAGAATGCACTGGAAAGAGAACACTTTTTTTTTTTTTTTTAAGTATACAAATCAGTGATTTTTAGAATATTCACAAGGTTGTGGAACAATCACCACTATCTAATTCCAGAATATTTTCATCACCCTAAAAAGAAACCATATACTCATTAGCAGTCACTCTATTTCTCCTCCCCCTGGACCTTGACAAACACTAACAACTTTCTGTCTCTGTGGATTTGCTTCTTTTGGCATTTCACATAAATGGAAGCCTTCAATATCACGCAACCTTCTGTATCTGATTTCTTTCACCTTAGCACATTTTCAAAGTTCATCCATGCTGTAGATACATCAGTACTTCATCTGTGGCTGCATAATATTCTGTCTGGAGAGCCACATTCTGTTTATCCATTCATTAACTGATGGACACTTGGCTTGTTTCTAATTTTTGACTATTTATGAATAATGCTGCTCTGAACATTTGTGTACAAGTTTTTTGTATGGACGTACTTTTTAATTCTCTTGTATCTAGAGAGAGCCAGGTGTGGAACTGCTGAGTCATATGGTATCTCTTTTTGAGGAACTGCCGAACTGTCTTCCAAAGTGGTTGTACCATTTTATATTCTAGCCAGCAGTGTACAAGGGTTCCAATTTCTTTACATCCATGTCAACACTTGTTATTGTCCATCTTTTTTATTATAATGATCCTAGTGGTATCTCATTGTGGTTTTGATTTGTACTTCCCTAAGGACTAATGATGTGGAGCATCTTTTCATGTGTTTTTTGACCATTTATAGATCTTCTTTAAAGGAATTTCTATTTTCTTCGGGTAAGTACCCAGTAGTCCACTTACTGAGTCATATTAATTCTATTTTTAATCTTTTGAGGAACCTCCATACTGTCTTCCATAGTGGCTGCACCAGTTTGCATCCTCACCAACAGTGCACAAGGGTTCTTTTTTCTCCACATCCTTGCCAACACGTGTTGTTGACTTTAGCCATTCTGCCAGGTGTGAGGTGGTATCTCATTGTGGTTTTGATTTGCATTTCCCTGATGATGAGTGATGTTGAGCATCTCTTCATGTGTCTGTTGGCCCTCTGTATGTCTTCTTTGGAAAAATGTCTGTTCAGGTCCCCTGCCCATTTTTAATTGGGTTATATGGGTTTTTTGTGTGTTGAGTTGTCTAAGTTCTTTATATATTTTTGGTTATTAACCCCTTATTGGATATATCATTTGCAGAAGTCTTACTCTCAGTCAGTAGGTTGCCTTTTTGTTCTGTTGATTTCCTTCACTGTTCAAAAAGATACATGCACCCCTATGTTTACTGCAGCATTATTTACAATAGCCAAGATATGGAAGCAACCCAAGTGTCCATCAAGATAGATGAATAAAGATGATATGGGAGATACACACACACACACACACACACAGAGGAATATTACTCAGCCATAAAAAAGAATGGAATCTTACCACTTGCAACAACATGGATGGACCTGGAAGGTATGTTGCTAAGTGAAATCAGTCAGAGAAAGACAAATACCATATGATTTTACTCATATGTGGAACTAAAGAAACAAAACAGATGAACAAACAAGGGGAAAAAAGACCAAAAAAACCTCGACTCTTAAATACAGAGAACTGGTGGTTACCAGAGAGAAGATGGGTAGGGGGATGGGTGAAATAAATAAAGGGGATTAAAAGCACACTTATCTTGCTGAGCTTTGAGAAATGTATAGAATTGTTGAATTATGTAGCACACCTGAAGCTAATATAACACTATGTTAATTGTACGTGAATTTTTTAAAATGTGTATCCAAATCCTTTACCATTTTTTTAAATGTCCATCCAATTTTTAAATTGAGGCCCTTGGGGTTTTTTTACTGTTAAGGGTTATGATTTAGACACCAGTTGCTTAACAGATACATGATTTGCAAATATTTTCTCCCATTCTGTGTGTTGTGTTTTCACTTTGATAGTGCCCTTTGATATAAAATGTTTTTAATTATGGTGAAATCCAAATTATCTAGTTCTTTTGTTGTTTGTACTTTTGGTTTGCAAGAAACCACTGCCTAATCCAAAGTCACAAGGGTTTATTTATGCCTATGTTTTCTAAGTATTTTATACTTTTAGCTCTTTTGGGTCTATGATCCATTTTGAGTTAATTTTTATATGTGGTGTGAGGTAGGGGTCCAACTTTATTCTTTTGCATGTGGCTTTCCAGGTGGCCCAGCTTCATGTGTTAAAATGATTTCCTCCCCATTGAATGGTCTTGAGGCCCTTGTTGAAAACCAAATGACCATAAATGTAAGGGTTTATTTCTTGACTCTCAATTCTATTCATTGATCTACATGTTTATCCTTGTTAGCATCTCACAATTTTGATTACTACAAACAAACACCTTTGTTTTTTAAGTTTTGAAATCAGGAGGTGTACTTCAACTTGCCTCTATTCTTTCAAGATCATTTTGGCTGTGCTGGAACCCTTGTACTTTCATATAAATTGTAGGATCATTTTGTCAATTTCTGCAAAAGTCCAGCTGAAATTTTTGATAGGGATTACATTGAACATGTAGCTCAATTTGGGAAGTTATTTCTATTGTAACAATATTAAGTCTTTTAATCCATGAACACAGGGTGTCTTTCCACTTATTTAGGTCTCCCTTTGAGTTCTTTCAATGATGTTTTATAGTTTTCACCATACAGCTCTTGCATTTCTTTTTGTTTTAATCCTACTACATATTTTTGATGATATTGTATGTAGCATGCCTTCTTCATTTCATTTCAGTTTGTTTGTTACTGGTATTTAGAAATACAACTGATTTTTGAATCCTGATCTTTTAACTTGCAACCTTGCTGAACTTATTAGCTCTAATAGTTTACATCTTCCTTACCAAACTGGATGCTTTTTATTTTTCTTGTCCAATTACCTTAACTAGAACCTTCTGTACAATGATGGTGAGAAGTGGTGAGAGTGGACATCTTCGTTTTCTTCCTGATCTTAGGGGAAAGCACTATCTTTCACCATTAAGTATACTAGCTCTGAGTTTTTCATAGTTACCCTTTATCAAGTTGAGGAAGTACCCTCCTATTCCTAGGTTTTTCAGACTTTTTTTAAACATGAAAGAGTGCTAGATTGTGTCAAATGGTTTTTGTGATTCTACTGAAATAACCATGTGATTTTCGTCCTTTATCCTATTATGCAATATATTATGTTCATTGTTGTTTTTTGTTTTGGGGGATTTTTTATATTGAAAAAACCCTTGCCTTCTGGGATGAATTCTACTTAGTCATGGTATATAATCCTTATATGCTGCTGGAGTTGCCTTGCTAGTATTCTGTTGAGGATTTTTGTGTCTGTGTTCCTAAGGGATATTGGTCCATAGTTATCTTGTGGTATCTTGGTCTGGTTTTGGTATCACAGTAATACTGCCCTCATGAAATGAGTTGGGAAGTGTTCTCTCCTCTTTTTGTGGGGAAGAGTTTGTGAAGGACTTTTGTTAATTCTTTTTGAAAATATTTGGCAGAATTCACCAGTGAACATAATTGGGCTGGGCTTTTCTATGTGGGTAGCTTTTTTTTTTATTATTAATAACCCAATTTCTTGTTATAGTTCTATTCAAATTTTCTGTTTCCTCTTAAGCCAGTTTTGGTGGTTTGTGTGCTTCCAGGAATTTGTCCATTTCATCTGGGTTTTAATTTTTTGGTATATGATTATATTCCCTCATTATCTTTTTTTTATTTCTATAAGGACTATAAGTAATGACCCCTCTTTCATCCTGATTTTAGTAATTTGTTTCTTCTCTGTGGGGATGGGGGCAGTTTAGCTTGAGGTTGTAATTCAGTTCCATCCCAACTTTTGGTTTCACGGATCTTCTCAATTGTTTTCTACTCTTTATTTCATTTACTTCCATTCTAATCTTTATTATTCCCTTTTTTTTTTTTTTGCTTGGGTTTAGTTTGCTCTTCCTTTTTTAGTTTCTTAAGGTGGAAGGTTACTTTATTAATATGTGATCTCCCTTTCTTTTTTTTTTTTTTCTTTTTAAAGATTTTATTTATTTATTTGAGACAGAGAGAATGAGAGAGAGAGAGCACATGAGAGGGGGGAGGGTCAGAGGGAGAAGCAGGCTCCCCGCCAAGCAGGGAGCCCGATGCGGGACTCGATCCAGGGACTCCAGGATCATGACCTGAGCCGAAGGCAGTTGCTTAACCAACTGAGCCACCCAGGCACCCTGTGATCTCCCTTTCTTAACATAAATGTTTAGTTATAAATTTAGCATTTAGCACTGCTTTAGCTGAATTCTGTGAGTTTTGATAAGTTGTGTTTCTGTTTTTTCTCATCTCAAAGTATTTTCTAATGCCCCTTGTTTTCTTTTTTTGATCCACTGGTTATTTAGGAATGTGTTGTTTACTGTCCACATTTGAGGATTTCCCAAATTTCCTGTTTTTGATTTCTAGTTTCTTTCCACTGTGGTTAGAAAGCATATTTTGTGGGATTTCAACACTTTTAAATGTATTGAGACTGTGGCCTAACCTATGGCCTATCCTGGATAATGTTTCATGTGCCGTTAAGAAGAATCTGTATTCTGCTGTTGTTAGGTGGAGTGTTCTGGATAGGTCTTCTAGGTCTAGTTGTTTTATAATATCGTTAAAATCTTCTGCTACCTTTCTGATCTGTCTAGTTCTATCCCTAATCAAATTTCTTATCCCAAATGGCAATAAGGATCACAAGTGTTCACTACCTGAATTCTTAACCTAGTGAATACAGGCATTGCTGGCTGCAGGTCTTTAGCCTAAGAAGGTTGTAGAGTTAAGCAATTTCTTCTTAGGCTTCTTGATGATGTCATTAACAAATTAAAATGGAAGAACAAATGAGTTCCATGTGTGATTTCCTACATGATCATGTTAATTCTGCTATGAGAATCTCCTAAAAAACTGAACATATTCATATTCTTACTTCAGCAAATGTTCTAAGTATACTGGTAGATTACTGTAGGCAGGCTTCCTATAGCCAGAATGGCTGGCAAACAAGTGGGAGTCTTTGTGATGCCAGACTCTTTTGCTTCCAACCATCCTCAGTGTGAATGCCAACATGATATACGACTGCAGATGTTTTTCATAATCAAGGGAATTCCACACTGTTGTGGACTTAATGGTCAAGTCTGTGGCTAAAGGAAGGAGAAAAAGAATACACCTCCTCAAGATACTCAAGCTGCTCCTTGGTCTCCCAGGAATTACCTGAGCTGCTGGGCAGTATCTTCCACCAGCCAAGTCCTTGACCCACAGGCTGCCACCCAATGACCTGGGTGAGGGTGCCAATGCACTGGGCTTATTGCCTTTCTTCTTTTTATTTTTAAAAGATCTCAATTTCTGTAAGAACCACCCTGTCTGGGCATTTCCACTCAGGTAACTTAAGCAGCCCGGGTAAGAGAAAAAAGAAATGTTTTAAATAATTGTAGGGGCACCTGGGTGGCTGAGTCCGTTAAGCATCTGACTCTTGGTTTCAGCTCACATCATGATCTTGGGGTCCTGGGATCAAGCCCCAAGTCAGGCTCCATGCTCAGTGGGGAGTCTGCTTCCCCTCTCCGTCTGCTTCTCCCCCTGCTTGCGTGCTCACTCACTCCCACTCTCACTCTCTCTCTCAAATAAATAAATCTTTTAAAAATATTTAAAATAATTGTATCTTTGTAAAACAGTAATCCAATGCACTTTTCATGTCCTCCCCCATATTCTGCCCATAGATATCCCATTATTCATCCTTTCAAAGTCCAGTTCAAATGCTACCTCTTCCACAAAATCTCCCAACCCTCTCCTTCTCCACCAGAATTAATAGTTCTTCATGTGTACAGCCTACTGATGATACCTATTTCACAGTGATTCTATTTATCTTGGATATTTATAATTGTGAAATGAAAAAAAATATGGTGCAACAGTAAAACGTGGGCTTTGAAACCAGGTAAACTTGGATTCAAACTCCGACTCCACAGACCAACTAAGGACGAGATGATCACGTGAAACACTGGGCACTCTGTTAATATGAGTGTCTTTTGTCCATTCTCACCACCTTGCCCTCTTTGAGGGCAAAATCATTTTGTTATTTTTGCTTGCTTTCTGCCATGTCCATCAGTAGCATCATTATCATAATAATACTGGTAGACAACATTCACTTATTATGTACCAACATTGATCAAAGCACATTACATGTATTAACTAATTTAATACTTATAAAAACCCTCAAGTACATATTATTATCCTTATTTTTCAGATAAGGAAACTGGACAAAGAAAGGTTAAGTAATTTACCCTAGGTCACAGATCTGGTAAGTAGAGTCAGGATTTGAATGCAATATATTTGGTACCAAAGCTTGTTCTCATAACAATCATAATATACCTTCACTCTAAGTATGGTCTTTGTCAATGAAGGAGTATACACAACACTTAGGCAAAATGTGACAGACATGGTTAGTTGTCCCCAGAATTTCACTTTCCATTAAAAAGAAACTAATAGAGGCACCTGGGTGGCTCAGTCAGTTAAGGATGGGACTAGTGATCTCAGCTCAGATCATGATCTCATGGGTTGTAGCGTGGGATCAGGCCCCACGGGCGGGCTCTGTGCTCAGCAGGGAGTCTGCTTGAAGAGTCTCTCCCTCTGTCCCTCCCCCTACTCTGCCATGCACTTACTCTCTCTCTCAAATAAATAAATCTAAATAAATAAGTAAATAAATAAATGGATGGATGGATGGAAACTAATAAAATAGGCTTTTCCAAACAAAGTCATAAGATCATCTTATAGAAAATACCAACATTTTCAATCACTACCCCAAAAGAAAACTACTTAAGTACAAAATTTAGATAGTTTTTCTTCTGAAGTAAAAACAGTTCTTTTTTTTTTTTTTTTAATATTTTATTTATTTATTTGAGAGAGAATGAGATAGAGAGAGCATGAGAGGGGGGAGGGTCAAAGGGAGAAGCAGACCCCCCCGCTGAGCAGGGAGCCCGATGCGGAACTCGATCCCGGGACTCCAGGATCATGACCTGAACCGAAGGCAGTCGCTTAACCAACTGAGCCACCCAGGTGCCCAGTAAAAACAGTTCTTAATCAAGCCTTACTTAAACAGACATTGAAGCCCAAATTAGACATACAGGAGACTACTACAAAATTATGTGATTTTTTAAAAAAAATTTTTTCAATTAATTTATCTATTTAAAGTAGGCTCCACAGGGCGCCTGGGTGGCTCAGTTGGTTAAGCAACTGCCTTCGGCTCAGGTCATGAATTCTGGAGTCCCGGGATCGAGTCCCACATCGGGCTCCCTGCTCGGCAGGGGGTCTGCTTCCCCCTCTGACCCTTCCCCTCTCATGCTCTCTGTCTCCCATTCTCTCAGATAAATAAATAAAATCTAAAAAAAAAAAAATAAAGTAGGCTCCACAACCAATGTGGAGCTTGAACTAGTGACCCTGAGATCAAGGGTCACACGCTCTACTGACTAAGCCAGCCAGGCACCCCTCCTTAGGCGATCTTTCAATTGAAGATCTCATTACTTTTCACAAGTACCTGAAAATCCAACAGCAACATTATAGGGCTAATCTGCTTACCATTTGAAATTAAAATCCCCCAAATAATTTCAGATATCATTTCTCCTAAAGCAACTAACTGTTTTCTTTATACAAATATTAAAGGTCTAAGCCACTGGTCCTCATTACTGTACTTCAAATAATTTTTAATTTTTTGAATTTTATGAGGGGTTGAGTTTCTATTAATCAATGCAGAAATTTTCAAAAGGTTAAACCGCAGAGAAGACTTACACCACAGAGCAAGCATAACATCCTTTCTTGCTACTCTCACGAATTAAAAATGCACCATCAGGTTTCCCATAAAGCAAGTCCTCTGCTTGTACTCGATTGATATCCTCAACAAACCAGGTTTTCTCATCATAATGGGGCAGGTTTTCATCTTCCTCATTGATAAAATAGGTCCTAAAAATTAAATGTTAAAATATTATTCTAACAATCAGGTTACTTACATCTAAATGCAAACTCATGAATAAAACACTCTTCTAAATCTTTAACCACGAAATGACAAAGTAAAACTACAATTACTTGGGACGTTTTTTAACAACTTTGTTATTTGCTATGGTGCAGAAAACACGAAATTCACACCTCTCATCCAATCAGCTGACAAAGAATGTCTGAATGAGCAAGCTTATGCACCCAGATTTCACGTGGCTCAGCAGGTCTCTGACCTCAAGTGCCTGTATGGTACTCTACTCTACAATTCAATTCAATTTAAAAGAGGTGGCAAAGTCCTTGATTCAATGTCCTCAAGTGACAATGAGAGCCAACATTTAGCATGTATAAAGAAGCCCCACATCTTAGATTGGGAACAAAACCCCTCTGATAGAAAGGTAGAGAACTTACTCATCAGCATCCTCATTCTTGATTCCCAGCCAGGCATTTAGGCGCTTCTGTCTCACGCCTTTGTGATTGAGCCACCTGCCGGAAGGAAGACACCAGTGTCAGTATCTGTGCAAACTCTGCCTAATGTAGACATGTCCAAGCCAACCAAATTTCCAAAGTCCAGGAACCTCTTATTTTAACCCACTCCCACTAAAAGTGGCCAGAGACTTCCTTAAACTAGTTTCTCCTTAACTTTTCCTCCAACTTTCCACAAAAAAGCAGAAACACAGGGAGTTATCTGAAATTAGGCACTTCTCTCATTTTTCATTTTCCTTTTCTAGAAGTTTGTACCACCATAAGCACACATATACTTTCACTTAAACACATGGGGACATCTGTTTCTGAAATCATTAGTTATGTGAGCATGGTGTCACATTTGCAATCTCCACTAAGCCAGAGGACTCAATTCCTGTGTGGCCCACTACATTGAGTTAAACATTCTAAAACAATTTCAAGGTCTATTCTTGTACCTAAGCAAGCCACAAGAAATTCAGGATGGCAATCTGAGTAATTAATATAAATTTACCTCATCACTAGGCAAATCATAGTATTTTAAAATATACCAAAACTTTAAATGTAAAACAACATACCATTAAATTTAGTTCCACTGACATGGCCACTGGTCTAAAAATCTAAGTGAGTATAAAAACTCTTTCACTCATTACCATCCTCCAACCAGGCTCCGATCATTCAGGTCTCATCATAAACATCATCTCCTCAGGGAGGACTGCCCTAATTATCCCAACTAAGGCAGTCCCCTTGTCACTCATTTTCTATATTTTACCTTATTTTATCATCTTCATAGCACTTGCCTGAAATTCATTATTTTATATTTTCACTTATGTTTGTCTCCCCTACTAAAATGTAAGAAAGGGGTCTGTCCTATTGTTCATGGCTATTCCCAATGCTGAAAACAGTGCCAGCATATAGTAGATCCTCAATAAATATCTCCCTAAACACCCTAGTTATCTTTGCTAGCAGATCATGATTTATCACCCATGATGTTATCTAAACTCTCTTTTATATTAAGTTTACATAATTTGTTAAAGGAACTTTCAAGGTCTAGTTTGCCACACTTATTCATGCCTCTTGGGATGGTGTATTTTTTAATAATCTCATCACTTTCCAGAGCAAACAAGAGCTTCCATTCATTCCTTTGGTCTGTGGCATAAGCCTTCTTCTTGGGCCTTCTTCAGCTTCATTATATAACCAGAATCACATAAGCTTTCTGAGAACAGACACACCCTGATTTTAGACAAGGTACCTCCTTGCCTTGTTTCCAAGGCTCTTCTGTATGCTATGTGTACTTGCTTGACGTTTGTTTTTTGTCCACAATAGCAAACTGAAATGATCTCTAGAAAGGAGTTATTAAAAACTACTCAGCACAGCATAGTTCTAATTGTTTGCCCCCAAAACTTATCACCTTAAATTTTATTCTACTGAAACTCAATAGCCACTGTCCCCACCTCTAAGCTTTTATTTTCTCCCCTCTCCCTTTCTCATACAAAGAAACCCTGAAGTTGGGGCACCTGGGTGGCTCAGATGGTTAAGCCTCTGCCTTCGGCTCAGATCATGATCCTGGGGTCCTGGGATCGAGCCCCGCATCGGGCTCCCTGCTCCGCGGAAAGCCTGCTTCTCCCCCTCCTTCCTGCTCAAGCTCTCTCTCACTATCTCTGTCTCTCTCAAATAAATAAATAAAATCTTTAAAAAAAAAAAAAAGAAAGAAACCCTGAAGTCTATGGAAAATCCAGTCAGAGGTCTTTATTTTGTGTTCTACAAAGAGTTTGAATCAAGTTGTATTACATGCATGAAAGTCACCTATAAACATATTTTGTAGCAGTCTATTCATTACCTAGAACAAAACATATTTTTGTTTCTCATGGATTCTCTCCTATAAGATAGTCATTTGTCCTAAAAATCTATCATCTTGTTCTGATAATATATCTTCCGATCTATATTTGAGTAATATCCCTATATCTATCTAAATCATACAGTTTTCTATAATATTAAAGAGTTGAGTTTCATTCCTCAGGTCAGATTATCTTACATGCCTGCTATTGGCACATTTCTATTATTTGAATACAGAATTTCATTTCTTGTATATAAAAACCCTTTAGGAGACTGTCCTGTAGACTTATTTGTAGGCCCCCACTATTAGTGTTATTGTCTGTGCTCATGAGGGGTAATTTCTATTTCTGTGGTTCTATGTAATCAAAGATTCTGGTTTTTGTATTTAGGCAAACATTAACCTGTCCTTTTTAAGCTACACCACATTGCTCATGCCACACCCATCCTCTGAGATTTCCCATTTGTATGGACTGGAATCTAGAATGCTACATTCTGGTTTGCCCCACATGTTGACTTTAGGTAAACTCAGGTACCACCAAGTACTACCAAGTTTGCTTTCCTAAATTCTTACAAATCTCACTGGCCAGTTCTCAATTACAAATCTCTTCTACCTCTAACAAGTCTAGTGCCAGCAGTAATCTGGTACTGGTGTTTCCTCCCATACAGGCCCAGACTACTCACACAAGGTGCTGATCTCGGATCTTGCGCAGCTGGATCAGGTCAGGTTTGATACTGTTCATTTTTTTATCTATTTCCCGGTTGTCCAAAGCTTGTTTCTTCAAATCCTGCTCTAGACGCATTTTGCTATCATGAATCTCACCCAGACGTGATTTCAATTTGTCATAATTCATCATAATTCTGTGAAAATATTGACATATTAAGGCTAAAACAGGAACCAAGCAGAAACATTCTATAATGTGAGCATAGTCCTAATATCTTAAGTGTGGTAGACATCTGTTGTTTTTGCCTAACCCATATCCATTCTCATTCTTTTGGTAATGGCACCTTGATGTTCCCTGTAGGAAAGGGCTCCCTGCCCCCATCTCAGAGTCACAGGTGAATATTCATACAACCCAGCCCAGCCATTAAGAGTATTCCATTATATCCTATCGCTACCCTCAGGCCACAGTGACTGATTCAGGAATGGGAATAATACCCTAACTGACCCAACGAGAATCAATTCTGGTTTGCTAGAACTACTGTAAACAGAGATTCTCTCTTCTCACTGAGATTGCTAAATTATAAATATGTGATTCTAGGACTCCCAGCAGCTATACTGCTACCCCATAGGGAAAGCCTGCCTGAGGATGATGCCAACACAGAGAAAAACAAAGGCAAAAGACAGAGTATGAGAGAAAATCCTGATGACCTTGTTTGGGCCCTGGATCCAGACACGAATGAACAAGTAAAGCTGTATGGATGATCTTCAAGAGGTAGCACGATACAACAGTTAAGAGCAGAGCTTTGCAGTCAGCCTGCCTAAGTCTGAATCTCTGCCCTGCATGGCCATGGGCAAGTTATTCAGCTTCTCTGTGCCTTCATTTCCTCATCTGTTTAAAATGGGTAGCTACAATAGTACCTACTTCACTAAATTATTATGTGAATTAAATGTGATAATACATGTAAAAGGACCAAACAGTGCCTGGTACATCTTGGCAAGCACTCAGCAGATAATGACTATAAGCTTTCCAGCATACAAACTTTTGCTGTGCTCTGAAGGCAATAACTGTCCACATCACTCATTTGCCACTCAAAAAATATGGTTTTATATTACTGTTAAAACTTCATCATCAGCTACTTCCTTTGCAACAAAACTACAAGTTCTTTTCTATCCCTTGTTAATAATAATAGCTATTTATATATATCATATGCCAAGATACATTCATACATACACACACATGCCTTTCTGTCCCATAAATATGCATGTGTGTATCTATCACCTGATTCTCACAGCATTTTAAAAAGTTATTACCTACAGTTTATAGAGGAGGAAACAGGCTCAGAGAGTTAAGTAACTTACCCAAGGTCACACAGCTAGTAAATGATCAATACAGAAGTCAAGCCCATGGTTTTAACCATTAAGCTATACTGCCTCAACAGCTCTTAGCCCTATTCTTATGCACACAGAAGTTCACTGACATTTTGGTGCTAATATGAGAAATAATTTTGCTTTTCCCTTGCAGATGATTCATTTTTATTTATTATCCACTTTTTCATTCCTCAGCCCACTATTATCTGGCTCAGTCTCCCAACATTCCACTAAATATGCTATGGTGAAGACTTCCAATATCATTTTAGCTGCCAGACCCAATACTTCTCATGCTGCTCACTCTCTATAATCTTCTCAGCATCTCCTATCACCTACACACTTATGCCTCCCAAATCCTTTCTGTACCTTGAGTTCCAAAACCAAATAACCAGCTGTCTGCCTCTCAGACAACTCCATTTGTTTTTTCACAGGAACCTCAAACTCATTGGTTCCAACCCTGAACTTTCCTCATGCACTTCCTATTGTGGTGAGTAACATCATTCCTTATTCATTCATATCAGAAATCTAGGAATAATCTTTGACTTCTCCCACACCTATCATATCTGGTCAGGTATCAAGTCCTCAGCATTTCCATTAATTCCCCCTCCTTTCCTGCCATTGCTCTGGTTCAGGCCCTCACCATCATTTAACCTGATGACCACTCAACACTGTCGTCACTCGCAACAGTCAAGCTGGTCTTCCTGCCCGTGGATTTTTTCAGCCTCCAATTTATTCTCAGAGTGCTGTTGATTTTCAGTTCAACAAAAATTCAGTGAGCATCACGGACTTTTCTTAGAAAAGTCATGCAAAGGATGAGCAGGAGTTAAAATTTGGAAGGATGTAGAAGGAACACAGAAAAGAGAAGGTTCAGTGTGATGCCATTAGTCAGAACAGCAAATAGTTCCATATATGACATTTAAGGGGGTAAAAGCAAACACAAAAGAGATTATTGGGGAATAAAAGAAGTCTCGTCTCACTGAAGCACTTGGAAGGGTTAGGTAGATTTACCGTTCAATTTCCTTTTCATTCCCCTCTCTGCGAAATCGCTCAATATATTCTTTGCTATGTTGTTCTTGTGTGTGACACTGCTCTTCAAATATTTTAATTGTTTCATTAAAAGCTTCAATTGCCGTCCTCTTCATCTGTATTTCCTATAGGAGAGAAAAAGGAAAGACATACACTTTATTATCTTTATTTTTTTTTTGTAACCTTGGTCTTAAAACAAATCTTAAAATTCCAGTTAAAATTCCATATAAGACTGAATTAAGATCCCTAAAACAACTATTTAACTCCTACCCTTATTACTTATATGCAAAATACATCATTCAAACCTTAAAATAAAAGAAAAAGAACTATTACTTGAAATATAGCTGAGAATCACCACAAAAAGGCCTGAGTTGCTAAGAGAGATTAACCCTGAACTCTTTGAAGACAAGGATAAAGTTATGCCTTTGCACTTATTATATTGCTGACCCCCAAAAGGTGCTAAAGAAGTGAAAGAATAGAATGGAGAAGTCCATACACCAGTGTGCATAGCCTTATTCCCAGAAGAGTCCTTTAGAATCTATTTATTCTATCAGTTCTAAAATATGTAATTTTCCAAACAGATTCATCAATAGATTAATCTGATTAGAAGCAGAAAATGAGGGGCATCTGGCTGGCTCAGTCAGTAGAACATGGGACTCTTGATCTTGGGGTTGTAAGGCAAGCTGCACATTAGGTGTAGATTACTTAAAAATAAAAAAGATCTTTAAAATGAAAACAAAGAAGCAGCAGAAAATGAAGGGGGGAAAAATAGCAGCTAAAATCAGATGCAGAATAAAATGAAAAACTAAAACTTCACAAAACAAATGCCCAGTAGGCTAAGCCATTCAACATTAGGATAAGTAGTCCTATACATTTTGATGAGTTCTGAGGTTATTTATAGACTTTAGCATCTGAACCCTGATTCCCCAAAATCTTCAGAGGGTTAAACTTTGTTCAATTTATATTAGAAAGTCAAGAACGATGCATAAACATCTAGAAAATTGCTATCCTGAATGTTTACAATTTTAAAAGTTTTGCTGCTTATGGGATAATTCCTCAAAACTATCTAGCATTGATTAATTTCAACAAATGATTACTGAGAATCCACTGTACAGAAAGTATAATCTGGTGATAAAGAGATTAATAAAACATGAAGCCTGCTCTGCAGTTTTAGAACACATAGGTGAAATTGATTTCTGAACTCCAATAAAGTTCTGTTTCATGTCATGGTAGAAGCAATCAAGTTAGGGTGAATTAGTTATTTACTGCTTTACAGTCTTCATGGAGGAGACAAGAACCTTATGCTGCTCCATATGGATGAGATTATATCATACATATCTCAAATAGTACTGTGAACTTATTGGAATGCCCACATCTAAATAGCTTCAAATTCTACAACTCTCAAATTACAGTGGAGAGCCTTGGCTCCCTTGCCGAGGGTCAAAAATTACCTACGAAGCTCTGGCCCTGTATCCTTAAAGAAGACACTAATAATCTACACTTTACTAACACTGGTGTGTTTTACAGCATTGCCAAAGCAGTAGCTGCCCCATAAACAATGCCACTATACCTGTATATACCGCAAAAACTATGAATCTACCTGTATCTACACCCCCTTCTCTCCTTTCTTTTCTCCAACCCCTCTTATGATTCCTTCTCATCAGCATACAAACGAGTTCTAGTAACAGCACTTTGAAAAAATAATCCCTGAACCCTAAATTCTCTTCCGGTCAATTAAGTTTCTTGAACAAACAGTCTGTATGGGCTGTCTTTCTCACACTCCAGCTCACTCTATTCTGGCTTCTGTACCTACCATTCCACAGAGACTGCTCTTTCCAAGGTCACCAATGATCTCATTGCCAAATTCCTGTCCGTTATCCCAATCCATCACTAAGTCCTATCACTTCCTCCTAATTACATGTAATCCAGATGTCAAATATCCCCACATGCAGTCTATTCTTACCCTGTGCCAACTATGACTCAGGATACACAATGTCTTTCCATTCTCTGGGAAGAATTCACTTACATCAAAGCAATCCAAATTTTATCTAAGATTTCACAGAAAAAACAGAGGAGGTCTATAACACTTACAAATACTTATAAAGAGAGGAGATAAATTCTTTAATTTCCCTTTAATACTCACCATCCCAGCACATCTCCTATACTGCTAATCACTGCATCCCTCCCTTTCTTCCCCCCACCTCCCAAAGCTTTAAGCCTCCACAGCTCTTCTCTGCTCAGCCATCTCACGTTTTGCTCTCATTTCTCACACAGTTAGCCCTCTCCCAGCTTTGACCCAGGGGCTTTTTTGGCTGCCTCCATCTACTCCCATGTCTGGCTCCCCAGCCAAGGATTCCAAGTCCAGAACCCAGTCTCACATCAGCTGCTCAGAACTCATATGCTGCTGTTAAATCCTCAGTATTACTGAGCATATGGGCAGCATTTTCTCTAGCCCTGACAAGAAAACAGAAATGCAGTTCTATACAAGCCTAAGCTGCAGGCATCAGTGGCCACTTTTTCTAGCCTTTTTCACAGGAGGTTTAGTGCCCGCCTATACTCTAGTTCAGACCATGAGGCTGACTCCAGAGCCCCGCCAAGATGGAGTGCTTTTGGTTCATTATCTTGTATAAATTCATTCAAAAAATAAGTGAATGCAAACTATATGCCAGGCATTACTTGAAGCATTTGGGATATATAAGTAAGCAAGCTTAGATAAATATTTCTGCCCTCCCAGAACTTATAGTTTAGGGTGTTATACAGATAATAAATAATAAACACAATAAGTAAGTAATTCACGTAGTTTGTTAGAATTATTAAGAATCTATAAGAATTGTTACGGAAAAAAGAAAAGTAGAGTGGGAAAGGAAGACTGAAATGCGAGTTGCAATTTTAAATCAAGCTACCAGCTAGGTGACTATGGGGGGTGGGGGGGTGGGGAGTGTTTCAGGCAAGGAAGCAGCCAGTGCAAACACTCAAAGGTAGGAAGCAGGCCTAGTATATTCGAGGAACAGCAAAGAGGCTAGTGTGGTTGGAGTATACTGAGGAAGAGAGAAGAAATGAGGTCAAAGAGGAAGAGTGGCACAATCATACTGGGCATTATAAAAAGCACTCTGGCTTTTCCTATGTGTAAACCATGGAACCAGAGATATGTCTTAAACAAAGGAGTACTGTGATCCTACCTATGTTTTATAAGTACAGGTTTCCCCAGCAGTCTCAAAGTACACAGTTCCTATTAAAATTTTCATAAGCCAAAATGGCATAAAGCAAAGAAGCAATTACCATGGCAATTTACGTGGCAAAAATCTTTCGTGTTCCTAGAGTCAAAAAATAACTTCTCCTAGGCTTTTTTTCTGATACGTTAGGACACATCTTGCTAAGGGATGCACAGAGTAAATGGAGATAAAGTACAGATGCTCACAGACACAGTTCAAAGTTATGGTGGCTTGATGCTGAGAGGCTGAATGCAGTTCTCAGGGAAGGAACGGCACCACTCTCACTGCTCGAGGATGTGTACTGCTTCTAAAAGCTCGCTGCAAAACAAGCTCAGAACGTTATTGTCACTTTTCACTCTTTTTTGTAAAAGCAGAAGTCTTCAGATTTCTTCCAGTTAGTGAAAACAAGTACTAATGTAGGTCCTTCATAAAAGCCAAGTGGTGTAATGTGAACTTGCAAAATGCAGGAGATACCTGTATTACCAGCTACTCTACTGAGAATTGATCAGGGGGAGGGGAGCATGGATAAGGGCAAGAAGATCTGTTAGAAGGTTTCTGGGGTAAATCAAAGCAAGAAATGATAGTGGGCTTCAATCAAGGTAGTAGCAGTGGATGTGGCAAGAAGGGGTCGCATTCTGGCTGTATTCTAAGGTAAAGTAAACAGGAATTCCTGATGGATTAGATGGAAGATGTAAAAGAAAGAGTCTTGGATGGGCTTCAAGGCTTTTGACCCGAGCAAGACGGATATGATTGCTCTCAACTGAGATGGGGAAGGCAAAGGGTAGAACAGCCTTGAGTTCAATTTTGTTCATGAATTCAGTTTTTACATGTTAAATTTAAGATAGCTATTAAATATCCAAGTGGAGCTGTTGATAAGGTAGTTGAATATATATGAGTCTAGAATTAACTTAGAAGAAGCAGAGGGGCACCTGGGTGGCTCAGTCGGTTGAGCGGCTGCCTTCAGCTCAGGTCATGATCCCAGGGTCCTGGGATCGAGCCCCGCATCGGGCTCCCTGCTCAGCAGAGAGCCTGCTTCTCCCTTTCTCTCTGCCTGCCACTCTGCCTACTTGTGCTCTCTATCTCTCTGTCAAATAAATAAATTAAAAAAAAAAAAAAGAAGAAGAAGCAGAGATGTTAAGTTTGGGAGTTACTAGCATATAGATGGTATGTAAAATCATGAGACTGTTTGAGATCAACAGAGTGAATAAGTAACCAGAAAAAAGAAGAGGATCAATGTCAAAGAGGAGAAATCAGCAAAGAAGTCCAAGAAAGAACTACCAGGGAGGTCAAATTCCCAGTTGTTTCTATTTATTCCTAGATCTGGAAGTTCCATTTATAGTTGTTATTATGGTTTTCTGTTCTACCTCTGATCTATAGAAATAATCATATTGTTTCTGCATAGAGCCATGTTTTTAGTGTGAGATATAATAAGTGCATAAAACAAATACACAGTTGAACAAATTATTATAAAATGAACTTCCACTACTAGCAACCCCAGAAATTACTTGTGTGTCCTTTCTGGATCGTAACTCCCTGCTTCTTCCCACTCCACCTCCTCCACCTTGGTGATAACACTACCATGCCTTTTATGATGATCATTTCCTTGTTATTCTTCATGATTTTACCACTTTATATACCCATCCAAAATAAAAAAAAAATTAACATTTGCCTGGTTTTGTACCTTCTATGAGTAGACTCATAGTATATGTATTCTTCTGCATCTTTTACTCAACAGTCTTTGTAAGATTAAACATAGTGTTGTATGTTGCCCTTTAAATAAATATGCGCACGGGAATACAGTAATCCACCATTGCTTTGTTTGATGCAGAGAAAAGGGATTAAAGTATGCCATTTTGCCAAATGCACATTGTGTTTGACAAATGTTGTCAGAGTACTTCAACCTTTTGTGGAAT